CTAGAAATCTTAAGTCCTGAAACAGCAGAGCTAATCAAATTAAAATGGAATTAAGATGTGTCTAAAAGAAAATATACCAAATATGTTGGGGTTTTTTTCCTATTTTTAAATTAATTCTAAGTATAAAAGTAATATATAAATGCATAAGATTACATAAAATATGTTATATGAAAAAAATTCACATTACACATAAGATTAAAGTACCTTTTGACCGACATCCCCTAATCTAATAGTCTGGTAGGAAGTGTGTCTTTACAGTTTTTCTAAGCAACTATTTACCATTAGGAAATGTATAATCTTTAATGTTACTGTTTTCTGAATATTTTAAATGAATGATACATGTTGTTTTACAACTTGCTTTACTCAGTGACTTGCTAATCTCTGTATGTCAAAAAATAAAGACATTTGAGTACTTATTATGTAGTAGTCACTCTTCTAAGCACTCAGATCTATTAATGCATTTAATCCTCATAACAATGCAGTGATTATGTTATGCTATTATCATTCAGGTTTGCAGTTGAGGATCCTGAGAGACCTCTGAGAAGTTAGGTAAATTGCCCAATTTTGTGATAGAGATGCTTGTTCTGGATTCTATTCCAGGAAGACTAACTCCAGGTCTACTCTCAGAGTAACCATTTTACACTGTCTCTGTGAGTTTCATAAATCTACCTCCTGAATGCAATACGCATCAACCCAAATCCCAGTGGGCCCATCTTTTAGAACTTGCAGTGACTGTGAATAATATGCAGATACTGTTCAAGTTTTAAAATGGCACCAAGTGCCTCATTATGCTCCACTTTTCAGTTGACAGCAGCATAAGTGAGGTATGACTGTTTTTGAGGGGAATAATGCACATATGAATGTGGAGCAGACCCCATTGTTATGCTCCTCCATTCCCCTGGTTCCTTTGCTGCCTGTATCTGATCCTTGGGCAACATTCCATTTACGTCAAAAATAACGTCAATCCAGTGAAAAAAACTGAATGACTCACAGTATTACTGTAGGGAACTAGTCTCTGTGTAATATGATATATAACATCCTAATTTCATAGAGCATTTTTCATAACAGCTGCTAAAATCGTAATCAAATCCATTAAATTCTTTTAAAGACTCCAATTTGAAACTATTCTAAAAAATGCAGGTGAGGTCCTGCCCACACAAACTGCTCCATCATTAACTCCTGCATATCTCCTCAGAATGTATTTGCCTGTACCTATTGATCACTTGAGTCTGCTCCTCTTTTGTATTTCTAGCTGTATTTGAGTCAAAGGCAGGTTATTTAACTGACTAGAGGATCTGAAAGATAGAATAAATAAGAAATCAGAGGAGGAAAAGGAAATTTTTCTCTTGACCCTCATGGACGACAGAACAAGGTATATTGCAAAGAAAGAAGGGAAAAACTGAGGTCTTGCATTTGGGGAAGCAGTGTTGTATTATTAAGATCTTTCTCTAGGGAATGAGTGACAATGAGGAACATGGCTACCTAAGCCCTTACATCTAGCAGCACTTAACTTAAAAATATTGAGCCTGTTGTATTTCTCCTGTTACACTGCCATCTCCAAAACTGACAGCTAATGTTTTTTAATAAGAATTTTATTCCTTTGATAAATACAAAGCCAAATAAAATCCCTGTTTTTTTCTTTCCTGTTGCTATATAATTCTATGAGTTTACATAGTTAGTCCCTGACATGTATTTTTCTTCAAAACATAAAACCAAAAAGAGAATTCAAGGAAAGCAGAAGAATGTGTAGTTTATTTCCATATGTAAGAATGACCCTCCAGAAAGAGCATAGGTTTCTAGGCATGATCACTTTCCAGTCTCTTCCATAGATAACTTAAGGTACAAGTTAGTACACGAGTAGCCTTCTCTGAGCCTCAGTTTTCTTATGTGAAGAATAAGCTTGGACCAGAATCCCAATGTTCTCTTGAGGTGTAACATTCTGGTTCTTATATTTCATGATGGCAAAAGATAGACAGATCACACTTCTGGTTACCCAGCAGCATAAGTCTCGTGCATTTTCCTCCCATCTACACATATCTCTTCTAATACTCATTAGAATGTTACTTACAGTGTCTTTTGTCTATGCATCTTATGGATAGTGCTCCTTCCAGCTTCATTCTGGTATAAGTGCTGTTGAAGTCAAAGTTCTCAGCACCATTTCATTTTTCTGATTCTCAAAAAGAAAAAAAAATCAGAATGGAATATAAATTACTGGCTTGTAATCCACAATCACTGCTCTAAAGTGGCTCTGATATTTGCTTTCAGACTCTCAAAAACTGGTAAGTGCATGCAATGTGTTGTAATGGGTTTAAGGCATGCTTTTCAGATGCCAGCTAAACATATCACTAATAGACATAATTTTGTGAGTGGGCTCAAGCAGTTTGCACCTAGTCAACTGATGTTAAAGCAAATATACCATACTGCCATTTTGAGTTGTCTAAAAGCAGTACCAGGGAAATTACTGAATATTAGTAGAACTTGGAATCTTAGAGTAGATTCTCGGCAATCTTAAGTCCTGCTAATAAGACATTTTCATTTCTCCTCATTTTATTTGTTCAGTAGCTAGTGATGGAGCAGCTACTGCAGTGCAGTCTTGGATGTGGGTGTTCTGCTGGGTCCTCTAGGGTCAGAAATCCATTGCAAAAGGAACCATGTTTACAAAAATGAGACAGACTTCTTCCTTGGGTCTATCACCAAGTAACTAGTTATCAAACCAACCAGACATGAAATCATCTGAGAAGTAGTTTGTTCTTTAGTTCTCAACATATCTTTCTTTTTTCCTAATAAATATATGAAAGATAAATGGCAATATTCATATGTAGACTGTGAAAGATCTGAGTTTCCTAGATTAGTCACATCTTGTATGATTTTAAAACTTAAAATAGTGGACTCTGGTGGCATTAAAATCTTAACAGTAGTAACCTTTCAACATTAGCTAAATTGGAGTGGGTAGCCAGTAGCATGGGAGTCAAGATACCATAATCATCATGGCTGCTCAGCTAGCTTTGTAGAGAAGGGTAAGCTACTCTGGTTTTCTCAGCTTCGGGAGTGGAAAATATCCACTTGCATTCTGTCTCACAAAGCTGTAATGAGAAACAAATGAGGTGAAGAATGTGACAGTATTTTGTATTGTAGATCATACAATCCAAATATGAGACAGAAAAGATGTAAAACGTGCATGTACTGCAGCTTTTCTAATTATATTATTGCTTTCTTCTATGTGATGTTCTGCATTTTATATGTAAACAGAGCTTGCAAGGTTGACTTTCTCCCAATTATCACAACTAATGAACTCTTAATGGGCAGCTGTGAATATAGATTTTATTGGAAGGAGGAAATTAAAGTGATCAAGGAGATTATTTTTTCTCCATTGGCATGTAAAAAAGTAAAGAGAATACTAATTAGAAAATATCTAGTTGTTCTTTATGTATACTTGCATGGTCTGACTTTTCTGATTACTCTTTTTTTATTCAAGTAAAGGAAATGAATAGTCAAAACCTTGTGTAAATGTTGTCATTTGATGGATATATCTTCTGGGTAAAAATATATTTACTTGTATTTGTTAAAACCGTATGACAAATACTCCATTTCATGAATAAGAGACACAACATGAGATGCTTCCATGTTTTAGTTTTATTGTGTAGTTAGAACACATCTTTATAATAATGCTATAAAAGGAATTACCTGGGCTAATGTTACTGGAAGAATTTGTTTTATTCTGTTAATACCTTTGCATATGTTTTCTAGAACTCAGGTTTTTTTCTCATTTTTAATAATTTAAATCCAGAAGCATTTAGTTACTAATTCCTTGAATCTGATTTCATTTGATGATTGCCATCCTGAAAAGATTAAATAGTATTAAAGATCAAAATACTTTATTTTGAAGGAGTGATTCCATATGCAGATGTAAGAAATAGTAACATTCCAAATAAATGCAGGCAAAATATGCTTTCTGAAACTAATACCTAGATATGTTCATGAGTAAAGTTTCCTTGTCCTCTTTAGAATATTAATTTCCATGTCCTGATTAAAGTCTAGGTGGCACAATTAAAGGTGGTAAGAGACAGACTAATGAGGACCACATTGGACTCTTCTTTTATTACTTCATTGTCTTTCTGTTCCGATTTCTCTCTCTCCCACTTCTTTGTTTTCCTCCTCCTCCCCGCCTCCCCTTTTCCTCCCTCTCCCCTTGGAGTATTTTTATTTAAAGACTTAAACATTTTCCTGGAAAACCAGCATAGTTTCTGTTGAAGAGAGAAAGTATTCAGAAAAAGAAATGAGACAGAAACATAGACAAATAACCTAGAATATAAACTTAGAAGTTAATGAAAGAAAAGAAAATGTTTTTCCTACTGCATCCATAATGCTAGTACTTATTGTTGTTTAATTTTTATTCATGTGGCCAGATCTGGTTTTATTTCTTCAACTATCTTAAATTTTCTGGTTAAATCAATTCTGTAATTCTGTTCTGATCTTTCTACAGCATTCAAAGAGAAACAAGTTAGGTTTCAGAACTGGGGTAGAAAAATATATTAAGACCAAAGTGATACAGCCTATCAGAAATTTGGAATAGAAAATTCATGCCCATGGTCACCTGCTATTGTCCACACATGATCTTTGCAACCTCACTTTTTTATCTTTAGGATTTTTAAGATCTACCCACTTTGATACACTTTCACCTGGTAACTGTGACTACAAACACTCCAACATGCATACATGTAAATGAATGCAAATCAGTGCTTTTTATAATTATGTTGTAGGAAAATGTTATGCTCTTGGAATGTTTGATTTTCATTATTGCCTTGGTCATCTTTAGTGTTGGTTTCTCAATTTCTCCTAAACCCTACTAATGTCTTTGTTATCTGTGGGCTATCAGGCTGTAATGGTTATCACCTCTTTCCTGGTGTTATTGATAAGCTTGATATTTTGTTTTCAGTGTCTGTTGTCTATCTTTTCCAAAGGTTTCTCTCACTAATTATTTTGCATCGTTCTTTTCTTAGACTTGAACGAAGCAGTCCCAGAAACAGAACGCTTGGATTCAAAGGTCCTAAAAACTCGAGCCCAGCTTTCCGTGAAGAACAGGCGGCAGAGGCCCACTAGGACAAGACTCTATGATAGTGTCAGTTCAACAGATGGGGAGGACAGTCTAGAGCGAAAGGTGGGTATCCTTGACAGTTCTCAGACTTGTGCTAGACTCTTTCATAATTCCTATAGCTTACTGAAGATAATGGTTCTTTTGCAACCAGAATCTATGCCCTAGCTGGAAACAACTGGAATAGCTCCTGTCTTTGTCTCCTGAATTTACACAACTTCTTATATTATCATAATTCAAACTTTTTTCTCTATTCATTCATCAAACTAGCCATGAATGTTATCCATATTGTCATATTTCATGATGGTGCTTTTGATATTCAGCTGTTATTTTTACCTAGTAGGAAATAATGAGTGTATAAGTAATTGTTTCTGTATGTTTTGGGTATTTGTGTAGATTCAGCATTAATATGGTGAATTGTTATGAACGATGCCTTCCTTTTGGTAAACCAACAAACAAATATTCCTTTTCATGGGTATTCACTAAAAAAAGGTTGGTCTTATTTCAAAGTAAGTATTGCATAGAACTGATCACAATGGCATAACCTCCTGTATAATCTCTTATACCAACAGCCTTCAAACAGTCTCTATAACCTCATGCATATTACCAAATCAGTTCCGCCCAAGGGTCTGAGAACTTCTTCTCCAGAATCAGATTCTGGGGTTCCACCCCTCACTCCAGTGGCTAGCCATGTGCCCTTCTCGCCTGACCACATAGCAGAGTTTCAAGAAGGACCGCTGCACCCAGAAAGGGGGCCTTTCTCCTCTGTTTGGGGAGACACTTCGCTTTCCTCTCCTTCAAAATCTGATCATGATATGGAAGAACCTCCTTGCCCCCATCAAGCTACCAGAAAGAAAATATTACGAGAAAAAGGTATTGTTAATTTTGTTGTTGTTGTTCTGCTTTTGCTTTGTGTGACTTAGCCAACACTCCAATTTGTGCAGTTTAAAAATGACTTGTCTCATAGTCATAAGTCCTCTGTCTTCTCAAGCTAATAATATTACTTTCCTTTTACCTTATGGGATAAGAGCAATCTCCACTCCCATGTATTTTGTGTTATTTGTTTTAATCTTTTCCTGTTCATTTAGAGTTTTTATTCCTTTGGCTCTCTACAAGTTTATTATTGAAGGAAAGTCTTTGAATGACCTTCTAAAGATTATGTAGAATAGCAGCTCATAGTTTCAATAAACACTAACATCATCACAGAGAAAAAATAATATATATTGAAGATCAAAGTGATGTAGGTCACAACCCATTGATTGATTCTTATTCCAAATACTTTTCGTAATAACAATTTATATTACAGTGAGTGTAATAGAATAGCTGTAATAAAGATAACACAGGGAGGCTGGTCAAATAAATTAAATTTTAAAATAGGCTCTTAGAATTACACCAAAATTTTATAGCAGCATTAGTAGACTTTTGTCTTTTTAATTATATATTTTACTTTATAGAAACAATAAATTATTGATTAAACAAGCTAACCAATGTTGAGAGGTATAAGGCATAGGTTTATTCTCCTTCCTGTTCTGATGTTTTTATTTAAAGTAAACTAAGTAAATTTGGTTGTATTATCTTTCACATTTGAAAAGAAATCTACATATACACATTCAAATACTTTTTGACATATGTAAATGAATAAAATACACTGAAATATAACAATAGGGATGAATCTCTGGAATAAGACAGCAACTTAAAAAACAAGTTACAGAATATATATAGTTTTATTTACATAAAGTTAAACAAAACTATTTAGGTCATCAGATTCTGGGGTTCCACCCCTCACCCCAGTGACTAGCCATGTGCCCTTCTTGCCTGACCACATCACTATACAAACAAACTTTTGAGGTCCCAAATGGGAATGGCAGGAGTGGTCCTTGGGAGGGATGTGCCAGGGACCCCATTCTTGTCAACTGCAGTTCATCAGGCTAGGTGACAAATGGGTGTTTTGTTTTAATGATGTTTGCTTATATTCTCTGCCTATTTTATAAGTACTCTCAACTTCTGCAGTCAATAAACAACAACAACAAAAACTTCACATACAAAGGTAATGGCTGGACTTTATCTTTAATATACAAGTAGTTCCAAAGAACTGATTTTTTAAATGTAAAAAATAAGCTAATGATAGAAACTGTTAAATCCTTGAAGATAAAATGCACATTATTTATAAGATATGAAAAGATAATCAACCTCATTAATGATCAAGACATGATCATTTAAATTACATATCTAATTACAAAAATTTGTCAGAATGCTAACATCTTCAGACTGAAATTTGATCAGTCAATGCTGGTAAGTAACAGTGTGAGACACTCATACACTGCAGGTATGATTATGCATCACCACAGTTTTTAAAACTCTACTAATTTTTCTCCACCAGATCAGGAATTGTAATCTTTCCACAAACATTTTGTAAACATAGAAATACACGTGCCTGTAGAGCTCACACTTCTTCACAACTTTTGGTCAGTATTCAATTGTTATTCCTAATTTTTTTCTCCTTGGTTCCCTTTCCTGAATCTGTGAGCCGCTACAGTTTTCTTTTACATACTTTTCCTAACTTCAGCTCTTCTTAAAGGAGGCAATACTTGAGTATTAGGGAGTACAGAGTACCAGTGGAACCTGTTAAAGCAGTGGTCAGTTGACTGTGATGCAGGCCTACTCTCAAAAGAATTAAAGACTCCAGAAATTTTTATTAATTAACCCAAAATATGGGGTTTGGTCGCACTTTCATAGAGATACAATTGTAGCAAGCTCACTATTATCTTTTCAAAAAAAGATATGTATAGACTCTGATCCATAAAAAGGCAAAATGGCAGATGAACATCCTTTGGAGCTAATAGTTAATAATTTGAGATCCACTGTGTGAATTTATAAGATATGGCTTGCTGTCTGAGGGAAATCACATCGTAATAACACATGAAATCTCACCCAAAGACTTTTATAAGTAGTTAAGCCCTGTCTAGATTATTTATCTCTGCCTTTTACTTCTAAGTTATTTATGATTCTTTGAGGTTAGTAGATATTTCCTCTCAGATTGGACAAGTAGTCCCTGGATATGAATTGTGCTTTAGGGTCCTTTAGCAGTAGCATAACAGTAAAATATGAGAATTTCACCTCACCTCTGATGCCTCCCTTTCTTCCTTTGGAATTTAGCAGGGCAAAAGACAAGAGGTGGGAAGTCTCTCTTTTCCAGAGACCAAGTACTTGGGCTTTCTCATTTTCAGTTCTGCTGGGCTGGTCAGAGTTATATATAACAAAGCAGGAGCAGTGAATTGAGCTTTGATAAAATACTAACTTTATAAATAGTCAGTGACTCGTATGGTGACCATTGCTAGGTACTAATGGTGGATAGATGAAAGCAGTGTCAAAGCCTCCCATTCTCTCATAACCTAGATACAAGTTTCCAGCCTCAAAAGAGTTTTCTGTGCCTTCCATGTTCATTTGATGTTAATCCAGTTATTCAAGTGTTCACTCAGCAGTTGCTGAGTACTGGCTGTGTCAGGCTTCATGGTGAAGCTGAATATACAGAAACAAACAGGATTCTGTCCTTTCCCTCAAGGAGTGTGCCTACTAAAGACAGTCTGTCTGCTGTCATCTCCTCCCCCTCCTCCCCCTTCCACTTCCCCTCCCCAACCCTTTCTATTCTGGAACCTCCTGCTAGCTTGCTCCTCTGGTGACCTTGCTTCTATGAACCCCCACTGACCACCACTGGCAACAACTGGAAGACACTGTGCTTCTTGTCTTTCCACACTTGAACAGTGTCAAAGAGGGAAACCATTCAGCCACTGACTCAGACATAGTCCTGTTGCCAGACAGTGCCTTGGGGAGTTAAGGGTCTGACTTCAGTTTTCTAAATCCAGAATCCCAATAATATACCCGGCTTCACTCAAGCTCAGGGTGACTGATTCATGCTGTTCAAACCTACAAAACACTGATTCCCAGAGCAGAAGGCTGATTTACTTTAGGAAGATCAGGTGACTTATTAACAAACATCCTTTATTTGTTTTGTTCTGTCTTGTCTAGTTGGTAGGTTCAGAAAGTTGCTCAGTGAACATAAAATTAGAGTCAAGTTTACTGGATGTGGACACAGATCATGGCCATTGGCCTATGAGCATGCTGGTGACCTGCTTGTTTCACTATAAGCACCACTAGCCTGCAGCTCTCCCACAGCCCTCCCACCTAGTTTCCAAAAAATAGACCTTGGTGTCATTCAGACTTTAGGGAAATCCTGTGTTCCTTTTGTTAGGATGTTGCAGAGGCTGATGCAGTATTGATGAACAGAGTGGGATAATGTTCTATAAAACCCTTGTGCTCCTTGCTGTGTGAAACTGGTCTGCTATTCTGACCTGGACTCAAGCTGTGTCAAAACTTCACATTCTCTCATTACCTTGATATAAGTTTCCAGCCTCAAAGAGTTTCCTGTGCCTTCCATGTTCATTTGACATGACTCAAGAGAGGTTAGGTATGGTTAACCTATGGTTTCCCTCTTGGTGTATATTTATGTGTGTGGTTCTTACAATTCATTAGTTCATTAGTGAAGAAACTAAAAAAGGACTTAGTGATATTCACAGGGACAGACTGGATCTCATGCTTACAATTTCATCTAACACCACACTCCAGGAAAATCCAGATCCTTCTTCAAAACCCAGTTTAATTCTCACCTCATTAATGAAGTCTTAGGCCCAGTCACTCCATTTCCAGGCAGAGTGCATTATTCTTTTCTCTCTGATTTCAGAGAATTTTTCACTGCTACTTCTGCCTCCATCACCTTACGTGCAATAAGTGATTTAACAATCAGTGTGAGCCAAAATTGCCTCACATATTAAGCCTTGCATTTTTGGTCCCTAAGAGAATATGACCTGTAAATGATATTTAGTAATTTTCTGGATGAAGTACTATCATACTCCAGACTACTAATGCAGCTGTCTAGGACAGGATCCATAAGCAGAGCCCTGCCACTTCCTGGTTTGTGAATGAGGATTTATTATAATGCAGCCATACTCTTCCAGCTACATATGCTTACTTCCAGGCCACAGTGGCAGAGTTGAGTGTTTATGACAGAGACTGTGTATCTCACCAACATAAAATACTTATTCCCTGTCTCATTATAGAAAAATCTTCTTGATTTCTAGTCTAGAAGTATCTTTCCACTCCACATTGCTGGATAAACTCTGAAGATGGCTTAGTCACTGGTTGCCATTTATTTAGAATTTTTAAATAATATTCTCAATATGCTCAAACTGGAGTTGGGTTTTTCCTTAAATTTTTGTCAGTACCACAATGGCATGTCATCATTTTTCCTCAAATTTGAGGGACCATAGAAACACTGGGATAGAAAGAGTCCCATTATAACTAGCTTAATGATAAGTCTCTAACAGAATGTCAGTTAAATTAGAGGAAGTAAAGATTTTTTTTTTCCCTAGAGGTCTGTATAACAAGATTTTATGGCAATAGGAACCATAAAAATACTTTCCTTATTCCTCTTATATAAGCACCCTAATAATAAAATTTTTGTCTCTAGGCTTGCATAGCAATGGACCTTTGACCAATCAAAGTTAAGTAAATTAAACACTATCAGTTTTCTGCTTTTAAATACTAGAGATTATTATTCTAAGCTTATATAGTTAGTAGCACACTGCCTGACACAGCATGCCTTTAAAAATCTTTATTGAAGTAATATATGGTAAATAGTATTTAGCTTTCTAAAACCTTTGCAGGATTCACTTCTTATTAAAATATTAGACTAGGCCTCTGTAACGATAAATATGGTAAAACTATATCATTGCTTAGAGGAGAGAGAGGTGACATCCAGCTAAGGTTGGTAAATAAAACTTGACAAATAAAATACAACTAAAGTAACCATTGAAAGACTTTA